CCACCGACACAGCTGAATCTTTCTCACCAGCCTGACCAAGGATTCGACATCCCTGACTTTTCACGGTATAGTGGTGCCGAGCAAGGGCAGGGCCCTGTTCACAGACGTCCTGTTCCTGGCCACGCACCACCTCCTGAGCCCATCTCAGGGAACGGTCAAGCGCCGCCCCAGATCCGGCTACCGGGCGTGGATGGACGTGAAGAGGTGAGTTTTTGGCAGCAGCAGAACAAGGGAGAGAAAAGTGAGGAGGACTGGACAGCTGAAGCCATCATGCATATGAATCTGGCAGGTGATATGAACCCTCGATGATAATTACGACATGCAACGTGATGAAGCGGAGTTGGAGTTGGGATTTATCTAGAAACGAACATAGCAGACAATTGGACTCATTGGCCTATGGCCGTCATCTATTTGCTTTCATAAGAAAACCGTACAGTCTGGATATCTAGAGAGTGTCTACTACTTGATTTGAAGCTTTGCAAGTAGCGAGAAGCATTCCATGCATAAGCGGCTGCGTTTATGAGGCCATGATGATTAGCCCTATGGCCAGCAATCAGCTACAGAGATGCAATCGGATTTAGCTGTCCAAGTTGAGTGGCAACCATTTGGGAAACGCAGGCAATGGAGGAAAAAATGAATTCCTGTACAGTACAGGAACAAAAGGTGAACCAATCGACGCAGGCCTGATTCGAACAGACGCCTCCGAAGAGAATAGATTTCTAGTCTATCGCATTAGACCACTCTGCCACTGCGCCTTAGCTGATTGGATAGTGATCGTCATGTCTAATTCTGCTTGTGGATGCTTCCGTAGTGTTGTGGATATCCCAAACCCCAGTCCCCATCTATGCTAATGCTAGTATAGTAGTATACAGAGTGTAAGTCGAATTGAGAATAACAAAATGCTTGGTATATAGAGTCGAGTCGCTATTATCTCATCCTTCTCTTCCTCTCCATATCTGAAAGGGCTCGTTTGACTATCCCCTCTGCTTCTGCAATGACATCATTTCCTCGTCGCCATGTATATAGGGCCACACCTAGCCCGTCCAGCTGTTCGTGTGCTCGTGCTAATCTCCTCCTCCATAATTCTAATTTCTTGTTTACTGCTTGTGGACCCAGCGTTGGTGAGCCCGCTGTTGATGTGTTCCCGCCATCTGACTGATAACCCGATCTTCCTGAACCAAATGATGGAGGGGGATTTGATGATGGTGGCGGGAGCGGATCGTAGTCTACGTCTAGATTGGCCATATTCTGAGTTGGTCGTGGTGGGAGACGTGGATTTTGGTTCGACTCGGTGATGCTTGACGGTGTACCACGTCGCCGTGGCGGAGGTGGAGGTGGACGATCTCCAGAATTAGAGCGTGCTGGGATTTTGAAACCGCCATTGCTGCTGCCCGAGCTCTGTTGCGAGGAGTTGTGAATCTGTTTCAGTGGATGAGGCACTGATGGTTCTCTGACCTGCACCGCTGGTCTTCTAGGTGGCGGCGGCGGAGGTATCTCATCAGAATTCTGCCTGCTGAGACCCTTGTTCAACTCGGTGATCGACTTGGCACTCCTCAACGCAACCGGTTTTGCCGGTCTGGGCGGAGGTGGCTTACGTCCGCCAAGTAGATCAGTCGTACTAGCACTCTTGGAGTTGACATTGGCACTGGCATTTCGAACCTGAGAGAGAGCCGCATTGCGATCGATCTTGGCCTCCCCTGGCTCGTCTGAGAAGTCGATCAGAGTTCCCATAGTCGGGCCTGGGGGAGGTTTGCTTTCTCCCCGATATCCGCTAGGCCCTAGGTTCTGGTATGAAGGGTTTCTGGAAACATTCCTTGAAGCGTTGCTAGAAGTAGCTGGGGTCTTTGGTCGGCCAAAGTCATATCCTGAGTTGGGGTTGAAGAAGGCTGTCTCTTCGGGTGTTGTGACATCTCGAATGAAGACCGCAAGAATCCGCCCTGGATTCGCAAGAGCAAGCTCAGTGTAAACCTCCAAATCAGCTTCTCCGCTGTCTCCCACAAGAATGAACATTCTCTCAGGGAAATCTCGTAGCAGGCGGGTAAGTGTAGATCGCTTTCTTTCTGCCACTGGCTCAAAGATACCCTGCAACATGCCGCTGTATTGTTTTAGATGAAGCGATCCTGGTGGCAGGCCGTGCATCTTGAAGAAACTGGCCAAGACTGGGAAAAGTTGCCACGGACTGTTTGAGCAGTAATGGATGCTCACGCCCATGTCGGCCATGCGATTGTACCACTCTTTAACACCTTCGACAGAGAGCTCACCTAAATCTCGGATGAAGGTGTTGCGGAAGATCTCTTTGGCACCCGCAGAAATATTGGACTTTTTGACTGTATCGTCAATGTCGCTAATAAGACTGACTCCGTATGGTTCAATGACTTTGATCTCTTGGATAGCTGACAGATCCTCATCCGCCAGAACTCTAACATGAGTTGGGATAAAGTCGAGAGCAGCACGAATGACGAAATGACCCGCATCGTTGGTCATGACGGTCTTTGATTGAGACTTCTCGCTGTTGTAGAAGAAGAAAGTGACCGGTAGAGCAACAGAGGGATTTGTCATGAAAGGAGCAATTCGAGCCATGAGATTGGCATTGGCTAGAATGAGATCACTCTCGCTCATCTCGCTGGTAGTGGTGTTCGATGTCATAGTTTTGGCTAGCATCGTTGGACTAGAAGGCGCAGAATCAGGAGATTGATTGCCCTGACGAGAAGGATAGTAAAAGCTGTCTGTAAGAGGGTCATCGTTGTCAGGCGTCTTCTCACTGAAGCCTCCCTGGTATGCAACTTGCTTCTCTCGCTGTCCTACCCTTTCAATGCGCCGAGCTTCAGAGTTGATCTTCTCCTGCTCTTTTTGCTCCTCGTGTATTTGATGATGCGTACGTGGAAGCCCAGTCTCTGGATTGTATGTTTGGTCTGCTCTAGGCGCAGGAATACCACTGAGCTGCCGCGCCAGACCGATGAGAACTCTGTTTCTCCTTGTCATGGGACCGCTGTGAGGTGTATAGATCCAGCCTCGGACATCAACATCAATAATGGCTCTTTCATCTTCGTTCCGTTCCCATTCATTTCGCCAAAAGCTTTCGTCTCTGATGCTTCCATGTGGCGCATCCGAGTCGTGCATCGCCATCTCGCCCCAATCACGCTTGGTGTGCTGTTTCGCATACGACGGAAACAGTACCATTTGGCAGTCGCCTTTCACTGTGATCGCAACATCTGGAAATGCGCCGGGGATGTGTATCCGTCCGTGGTTCTCATGTCCTGAAGCTGCAGGTCCTGCCCTGGTCTGGGCATATGATTCCTTGATCTCGGACACTGCGGCTTGGCCGCTTCTGTACAAATTCCCTGCCATAGCTGCCAAGCGCTTCCTCCTATACCCCCTCTCGCCATCCCCAGGGCTCGCAGCCCGGTTTGAGCCATATCCCATCATGATTCCTGCTGTCTGGGGCGTTTTGTGCGCCACTGAACCCTTGGATCGGGTCCTTGCATGCTTGACAGGGCGATTCGCTTGTGATCCTAGCCAGAGCTGTCTCCCTTGCCGCTTGACGATGTCCAAAATGCGCGATTGATCCGCGCGCCTCCGTTGGCGCTCAAGAATGTAACGGTAAACTCGGGACTGGAACCTGTGCTTGAGACGCGGAAGAGTGTTGAGGTGGAAATTGAGTAGTCGTTCACGGTATCGGTCTCTTACGGCGCGAGGGAACAGGAAGCGTGCGAGGCTCTGCTTGTGACGCGGGTGAGGGCGATAGGGGCCGAAGAATCTGAACGGCGCCAGCTTGTCGACTTTTTATACGAATTGGACTACAAAAGGAGTCAGATGAGGCTCTCTCGGGATTGCGATGGCGGCTGACAGGTTGGGGTATTTATTGGAGGTAGGGACAGATCTCAGGCGGCTGAGTCTTCTGATGGGGGGTTGCTCAGCCTGACACCGGCACTGGCAGGGCTGTCAGTTAACGGCGGAGATGATGACGGAAGCACATGATTTGGACGAGTCTCAGTGTATTTGAAGATGGTTTGCTGCTCTCAGATACCGAGACACAAGAGAGAGACAGTGTAGCTCGTGACCCTAGACTAGTCTAGACCTGGCACGGTCTAGTGAGCTTGCTCAGTTGCAGTTCTTCTGTGCCGATCAGACCTTACGTCATCAGCCACGGCCATCATGAAATGGGGCCTGGCCTGCAGCTGTAGCTAGGTACGTACCTAGTGGCAGTGGTAGACCGGGCTCCCGTGATAAAATCGGAGGTATCCATAATATGCCGAGATCCAGTTTTGACCCCCGAGAATTGAGGTAGATACCGGCCCGTCTTCTTGAGGCCGATGCCGTTGATCGGTGTTATACCTTGACTTTTATTATCGGGATATGCTATTCGTAGCAGTTGATTTACTGTGGATGTCAGTATAATGCTTCTGAGTGCCAGTGAAAAAAATAGTCTTTCACAAGTCTGAGTCTTTGGACTAGTTACTAAACTATTTCATCACAGAACATTCACTCAACCTAGAAACAACTTCCAATGAACTCACTCTTCAGCTCACGGATTTAATACAATTACCTAGATACAAATAATCAAGTATATCTTCAACAATGACAAGGATTCCTCTTCTCCGGTCTTCACTAGTCCACCTCTGATGGGCCCTCCTCCGACTCCGGATTCGGATAACAGCGGGCAATCAAGGTACAAGCAAAAAACAAGCAGAATTGCAGAGCAATTGTATCATGTCGCAAGGGAATGCCCCTCCAAAATTGTCAATTACCTTGTCTTTCACTCGCTGTAACCTCCCACCTCAGGGCGCGCCTCCAAATCAAATCTACTCTAACTCCGTACTACCCCGCCTCCGCTACCGTGACTCAAACTTTTTGACTTTGACTGACTCAATCTTTTTTTTTGACGTCTCATTCTCAGAAACTATTTGTATTCGAGCTTCTTCCTTCATTTTACTCTTAATTTGACAGACATACTCTGCTTGGAATTGAGATCAAGTTGCTCTTCAACATCCATTGCCAAGATGACTATGTACGTTGCGATATCGGCCTTTCAGACATGCCATGATACTAACATTTTTCCTTACCAGGCTCAAGGAACCCTGGAAGAAATACAAGCCGTTCAAGGTGAGTTTTGTTTTCAACCAACCTCAGGCGATCTTATAATTAACGTGCTCAGGCTCCTAAACTGCCAAATCGAACATGGCCCGACAAAACCATCGAGAAGGCCCCTCGCTGGCTTTCGTACGTCACCAATTGACACTCATGAGACACTTGAATAATACTAATTCCCTTAAAGAAGCTGTCTGCGCGATGGCAACCAGAGTCTGCCCGATCCCATGGTACGTTCTCCCCAGTAACGCGCCCAATTGCGACACGAGACTGACCTGTCATGATAGAACGGCGAGGAGAAGTGGCGATACTTCAAGATGCTCTGCGATCTAGGCTACAAGGAAATTGAGGTCTCTTTCCCCTCTGCCTCCCAAACCGACTTCGACTTCACCCAGCGCCTGATCCAGACCCCAGGAGCTGTCCCCGACGATGTATTCCTACAAGTCCTTTCCCCCTGCCGACCCGACCTCATTCGCAGAACCGTCGAGTCTGTCCGCGGTGCTAAGAACGCCATCATTCACATCTACCTTGCCACGAGCGCATGCTTCCGTCAAGTAGTCTTTGGCTACACTGAGGAGCAGACCCTGGAGCTTGCTGTAGAGTGCACCAAGCTGGTCAGATCTCTGACAAAGGATAACCCTGAGGCCTCTGGCACCAATTGGCAATTCGAGTTCTCCCCCGAGTGCTTCTCCGACACAGACCCTGACTATGCCGTGAGAGTCTGCCAGGCTGTCAAGGCTGCTTGGGGACCTGACGCGACCAAGGGCGACCAGATCATCCTGAACCTGCCCGCCACGGTAGAACTGGCGACACCCAACATCTACGCCGATCTGATCGAATACTTCTGCAACAACATTGGCGACAGACAGGATGTTTGTATCTCCCTGCATCCCCACAACGACCGTGGATGCAGTATTGCTGCTGCTGAGCTTGCCCAAATGGCCGGCGCTGATCGAGTAGAGGGCTGTCTGTTCGGTAACGGCGAGCGAACTGGAAACGTCGATCTCGTCACTCTGGCCCTCAACCTGTACACACAAGGTGTCAGCCCTAACATTGACTTCTCCGACCTGAACTCAGTCATCGACATGGTTGAGTCTTGCACCAAAATCCCCGTCCACCAACGTGCTCCGTACGGCGGCAGCCTGGTATGCGCTGCTTTCTCTGGCAGCCACCAAGATGCCATCAAGAAGGGTTTCCAGGACCGCAAGGCCAAGGGTTTGGGCCACGAGGACCCCTGGAACGGCATGCCCTACCTGCCCCTGGACCCCCGAGATATCGGCCGCAACTACGAGGCCATCATCCGTGTCAACTCTCAGTCTGGAAAGGGAGGAAGCGCTTTCATTGTGCACACCAAGCTCCAGCTTGACCTCCCTCGCGGTCTCCAAGTCGCCTTCTCCAAGGTCGTTCAGAAGAAGAGCGAGGAGGTCGGACGTGAGCTGCTGGCCAATGAGATCACCTCTCTGTTTGAGAACACATACTTCCTCAACAACAACCCTCATTTCAGCCTGGTGGACTACAGCATCACACCTGACCGATCGCGATCCCCTGCCCCCGCAGCCCACGGCAGAACCCAAGACACCAAGGATTTTATCCGTATCTTTGAGGGTGTCCTGCTGGTGAATGGCAAGGAGCTGAAGCTGCGTGGCCGTGGCAATGGTCCCATTTCCAGCATGGTTTCAGCCCTCAAGGAGCTTAACATCGAGTTTGATGTCAATGACTACAAGGAGCACGCCATTGGCGAGGGACGCGGTGTCAAGGCTGCCTCATACATCGAGTGCAAGCCCGTTGGTAGCAAGCAGTCAGTATGGGGTGTTGGTATCCACGAGGATGTGGTACAGAGTTCTCTGATCGCTCTCCTGAGCGCAGCTAGCAACGTAAGTCTCTAACAACTTCTTCGGGTAAAATCAACACTAACAACATGTGCAGTTCGTCACCAGCAGACCCGCCAGCCCTATTCAAAAGCCCACTGATGCTCCTGCTCCCCAAGAGACCCCTAGTGTGGTGTCTATTCTGGAGGAGAAGGCAAATGGCATGTAAAGGGAACGAGGACGAGAAGAGAAAAGAAAAGAAATTTGAAAAGGGGGCTTGCCTCTCGACTTGCCGCGAACCGCTTGGCATGTTTGTACAGTTAGTTCATGTTGTTCATATGAATGAGAGGGCGTGGGTGCTGAAAAGCTTTGTCATATTGAGGAGTTAGTCAAAAATTGAAGATAATTGACTTGATCAAAGGTTCGAGATCATCGCGATAGGAGGGCACTGCATCGTGTGTCTTTTCCTGGTTTATTCCTCCTTACCTGTGACTCCTGAACCGTATTATATCGTCATGTGTCTTCGATTCAATCGTTCTTGATGATCTCAAAGACTCCTCAAACTTCGGTTAGCTGTTGAATGATTATGGCTCATGTCACGTTACAGCAAAAACACATTAGTGTCTCAACTGGCTATCGAGGCTCTTTACCAATCGTGCTTAGGGGCTGAAACAAGTGACGATGCCCTCCACTTCCTGAACACAAGACAGCCACCTTCAGAGGTAGTGGACTGCTACAAGGAAATGAATAAGCTCTATGTTCAATACTAGGGCTGACCTTTTGAACCTGTACATCAAGATCATCACCAACCGCCAGTCTAAACGACCGGAAATGACCAATGCTTCTTTACCGTCGTTAGTAGCCGATCCAGAACCTGTCTCAAACACTCATCAGCTGAACAAGAAAGATCCCAAGCAGGCCTATCAAGAGAAAAGAGGCTTGGTTGGTTGACCGCTGGAAATGTGATGGAAATGTCGATCTCACTGTAATAAGGTATAAGACCTGGATCTACGAGACAGGAGCTTATTCAAGCCATTGGAATGCCAACCCGGGGATAAGAAGTTGAAGGATAACGTCTCAAGTTACTCTAATTGCTCAGTATTGAGGCAAACTGACATTGGTACTGTTCATCGAGCTGATCGAGCTTATGGCGTGTATAGTACAACGCGGCTTAAAAGGAGCCCACCCCTATAATGTACACACATGCTCAGCTTGACGCAAGGAGATATAACATACATATCATTTTTCTTGACAGGTCACACAAGGACTTTGTACCATCATTCAAATGCCTCTTCTCGATCATGCGTAGCTCCTCGTCGATAAACTAAATACTTTGAAGGCTGCCTGTAGGTCTCCTACGGGGTTTCAGCTCGATTCTGATAAACAGCACCCGTTGAGTAATGTGGTGAGCGAAAGAGAAGTGTTTTTTAAAAGTCAGTACAGCTGAGAGATCAGTCTGACTTGGGGTGACCAAGTACGTATGTCAACACGCAGTACAACTCTGGGTCTGGGCCAAGTCGATATGCACCACCGAGACAAGAACTCAGCCCAACTCTACGTAATAATAGTAAAGCAGATTATGAATGGTTTCATAAGCATACTGCTGAACCTCAAGCTACGTGGATTGGATGAGTTACAAGCGTCAGACATAAAGCTTCGGGTCATTACCGAATAGGGACTATGTCTGCGCTGCATGGGACTACAGTTCACAGGTTATGCAGCCGCAAAAAGGGATAACGCCTATCCGTATATTCTTTACGGATCTTCAGATGTGGCATATGCAGCCAACATGTATGTATGAAGTCTAGACTCCATATCTCATCTCGATCTCACCTATCTATCGAGCGCAAGACGAAGCTGAACACCCTTAAACAAGTCTCCGAAATCTTACTGATCAGATCTGACTTTTCACAAATCTGCTGGAGTGAGAGAATTGTCTCAGAAATGATCAGATGCTGTAAGTCGGACTTTCCATCCATGGCCTAGAACACACTGCGCCGTGAAGCTGCAGTTGTTCTGGTCCCGATCTGTGATGCAACATATTCCACAAGCAGAGAATACACCGCGAACATGGCTTATATGTGAGACAATGGATAGTTCCGGAATATTTTCCGTTGTCAAATAACGACAAAGTGACAGTTGTCTAAGACACACAAGCAACCCTCACAACGACTCGGAAGCCGACTGGTTCTTTTAACCCTGCTTTGACAGGTGGTATCGAGGTACTCATCACATATCTCGAGCTGCAGCATTAAGCACAATCTAGATATCCGATTTGTGATCTTGTGCAGCGCCAAGATTACATAGATGCTTCGAGTCTCGAGACCATTGAGGATCGTTGTGCTTATTAGCTAAGTGGCTGAGAGAGCATGACCTAACATCTTTGCTCTGAGACACCAAGCGGAGAGCTGAGATTTTCGATCGAGGCGGCTCAACTTGTGTTTAGAATCGAAGTGTTGATTTGAGAAACGAGGAGTTCGGTCTAAGCCAATTCTCTACATATAGACATTAGATCCGGGAGACAACACGGCAAGTCTTGAACTAACCCCAGGAACTAAGATAGTGCCGGAGCACTTTTGTAATAGCCTTTCCTAAACCCAGACACTCAAGCCCAAGTCACTTTGCCCGCCGCTCGATCAAAAAACGCCCGACTATCACCGTTGTCTCAAGCATGGGGAAATTCCTCTTCTCTCAATGGCCGCCTCCCAACAAACTCAAAAGAACCAAGACACGATCGACCGTTCCAGACGTCAAGTTGACTCTCACCAACATGCGTGTTTCTTTCAAAGGGGTAGTACCGCATGCACATCCCCCTCCCCTGGATGAGCGCCCACTCGTAACGGCCCGGCGGTAACGGCGTGGTCCGAGACTGCACTAGGTCTAGTCCTCGGAGTAAACTGTCAAAGTTAGCTCTGAGGCGCTGGAATGGGGTCCAGTCTAGAGCTGTGCTGTATGTCTGGGCTTTGGAATGCTGGACGGGATGGTTGCCCAAAACCTGTTAGTTTAGACTCGATAAGCTGTGGGTGTTGGTTGTTGAGATCGAGGTGGCGATTCTGACGATGACTTCTGGACATGGTGCTGAAGTAAAGTCTATATAATTTGCTTGGTCTGGCGCCTGGAAATATCACCATCATCATCTTCACTTCATTCACAACTCATCAACTCATCACATACTCAACCCTTGCCTTGATCACTTCAACTACCACAATCAACATGAAGTTCCTCAGCCTCCTCACTCTTGCTTCCTTTGCCACGGCCTCTCCTTTCCGTCGGCAACAAACCGTCACAGGAACCATCAAGTCCTCAGTTGACACTCTATCAAGCTCCTCTGTGGTCACTCTCAATGAGATCGGTAAGTAGCTTCTCCTGGCACTTCAAAATAACTATTGCTAACAAGTTTATAGATGATAATGTCCTCTTAATCAAGAACAACGTTGATGCCCAAGTCATTGCACAGATTCAAGCTGATCTCAAGGCCAATTATCAAGCCATCGTTCAAGGCCTGGCCGCTTCCACAACCAATATTGTCAGCGTCACAACAGGAGCTGCTGGTGGTGTTGCTGGCCAAGCCATTGGTCTCACCAACCAACAGATCGCGACACTCACTGCCTCTATTCTCGTCGTTATCGACATCGTTGAGAACATCGGCGCCACTGTAACCGTCACCGTCACAGACCTGACTCCTGCCCTGCGAGCTACTTTCCAGGCTGAGATCAATGCTGTCAAGGCTGCCCTCAACCCTTTTATCAGCCCCGTTCTCCTCTTCGCGGCTGCTGTACGAGCTGCGAGTGTAGGCGGTAGTGCCACTATCACTGGCCTTGACAATGCCATCGTCAACCTCATTAGAGTCCAGAGTGAGCTCGTGGCGTCCATCGGCATCGCTCCCCTTAATCTCTAAGTTTGGGCCTGGGTTTATGAATCAAGTGATGAGGACATTCTTTTACAAATAATGAAAGCGATATCTGGTGTGCTTCTTACGACAAAAGCAATGGTGCTAGCGGTATAGCGAGCGATTACACACTCCTTGATACTTACTTAATATAGTAATTTTCTTTGTGAACTTTCTCGACCAATGACTTGTGATAATTTGCAATGTACGGCCTTGAAAAGTGTGAGCGTTGGACGGATTCGTCAGTCCTTTAGCGTCACGTTAACGTCAGATTGCCGATCAGGGTTGCATAGATCTACAGGCACGTCCAGTCCCTTCAAACCTTATTGCAACATTCCTCACAAAGCGCCGAATCAGGTTAGATACTCCTCGGAAGAGCAAGACGAAGGCGGATTGTGTGTGGTCATGGATATAATTAACCTAAAACTACCTATACATCGCTGCCAATGAACTCCTCTAAACTTTTAGCTCATCGCCTCTTACCACCGGCTCTTCCCTTTCCCTTGGGTTTGCTAGGGGCGGCATCCTTGCCTCCCTCCTTAGTCGCCCGGCCCTTGGCCCTTGATTTGGCCTGTTCCTTATGTCGGGCCTTCATATCAGCCTCTGACGACTTGCCCTTCCTCCACTCTCCGCCACCCTCGGCACGTAGTTGCTTGTTGTCAAGGCGCTTCTTATCCTTGTTGCTTAGCTTGCCCGTCTTCTTCTTCATCGCCTCTCTCATGCCGTTGAGCTCATCTTTGCCGGCTTGCTTGGACTGCTTCTTGTCGTGTTCAGACTCGAACCACGTTCGCCTAGGTCGTCCCTTGATCTCAGCCTCATGCTGGATGAGGTTCTCACCCTTCTTGACTTGCATCTCGACATGGGCAAGCTGCTTCTCTTCCTTCTCTTCTTGCATGATCTCCTCGATTTCATCATCCATCTCGTCGATCTGAGCTTGAAGAGCATCGACCTCGGCAGCCTCAATCTGCCGGCTGACGATCTTGGCACCCTGGGCCTTGCCGGCCTTCACTGCAGCCTTGACGACCTTGCGGTCATTCTCAGAAGCTAATGTCAAGGCAGTACCCTTGCGACCAGCACGAGCTGTTCGACCAACTCTGTGGACGTAGATTTCTAGTGACTGGGGCGCTTCGTAGTTGATGACGGTATCGACACCCTTGATATCAAGACCACGGGAAGCAAGATCGGTGGCTAATAAATACGCCACCTTGCCATCACGGAAGTCCTCAACACTTGAAATACGCTAAATAGTGTTAGTGATGGTCATAGCAGCGAGACAGAATAAGACTAACCTGTGTTTGGTTCATGCTACCGTGAAGCTCAGCACATGAGAGACCAAGTAA